TATTAATACTAAGGTTTAATTATTTAAAAAAATAAAAATTATTATGTAAAAAATGAAGTTATTTATTGAATTAATAATGCAAAATTTAGTATAAAAAATTGTTAATTATTTATAAAATATGATTAGAATTCAGAATGAGTCAAGTCGAGTTTAAAAACTAACTCTATTTGACTCATTTTTTTTAAGTTGAGTCGAGTCAAATTTATTTTATAAAATCTTTTAATTTGATTTAATTCGAGTTATATAAATTTTAAACTCAACTCAATTTGACTCGACTCAATTTTAACTCAATTCGATTTTGAAAAAAAAAATAATAAAAAAAAATTAAAAGATCGAGAAAGGAAGGAAGAAGCAAACAATTTGAGTCATTGTTCTTCTTGAACAATTTTTTATCATTTAAGTCGAACAATTCAGATCATTATTCTTCTTGAATAATTTTTTTTATCGTTCAAGTTAAACGATTCCTTATTATTCTTCTTGAACAATTTTTGTATTATTCAAGTTGAACGATTCCTTATCATTTTTCTTGAATGATTTTTATATCATTCAAGTTGAACGATTTCTTATTGTTCTTCTTAAACGATTTTTATATCGTTCAAGTCAAACGATTTCTTATCATTCTTTTTGAACAATTTTTATATCGTTCAAGGTAAACAATTTCTTATCATTCTTCTTGAACGATTTTTGTATTATTCAAGTCGAATGATTCCTTATCATTCTTCTTGAATGATTTTTTTATTGTTCAAGTCAAACGATTTTTAATCATTCTTCTTGAACAATTTTTTATCGTTCAAGTCAAACGATTTCTTATCGTTCTTCTTGAATGATTTTTTTATCGTTCAAATCAAATGATTCCTTATTGTTTTTTTGAATGATTTTTTATCGTTCAAGTTGAATGATTCCTTATTATTCAAGTCGAACGATTTCTTATCGTTCAAGTCAAACGATTTCTAATCATTCTTCTTAGAATGATTTTTTTATCGTTCAAGTCGAACGATTTCTTATCATTCTTCTTGAATAAATTTTTTATCATTCAAGTTGAACGATTTCTTATCGTTCTTCTTAGAACAATTTTTTTATCGTTCAAGTCAACTCGAGTCAACTCAAATCAAGTTGAGTTTAAATTGAGTCAAATTAAATATTTAACTTAACTTGAATTTAGCTTGACTTGCAAATCATCGAGTCAAAAAAACATAAATTTGACTTGATTTGAACTTGACTCAGCTTATCTGACTCGTGAGTTAACTCAACTTGTCCAGAACTCAAATATGATTAATTAGTCAGAAATTACTAAATTAAAACTATTAGTTTCAAAGCATCAAGAATTTTAAAATAAGCTAAAATTTATAAAATTTAGATTAAAAATAGATTTAACTTTATTAGTTGAAAATAATTTTTACTTATTACATTATGAATTTGACCAATTATAAATCAATTTTATAATACATAATATACTATTATAATAAATTTTACTATGTTATACTAAATAATTCATTAGAATATTAAAAAAATTTTTATAATGAAGGTTTAATCAATTTAAACATTTACTTTATTATATTGAGATATAATTATATTTATTTTTATTTTATTTAATTTATTATTATTAATTTTTTTTTAATTACAAAAATTATTTTAATATATATAATTATATATTATAATTAGTTTAGATCTAGTGATTTTAATCCATTAAAATAAACTGTCTATTCCAATAGTATTTTATTAGATCAGTTCAATTCAGTGATCAATATTAATTATAGATATTAATATTTTAAAATATCTTTACTTAGTAATTTTTTAATAATTAATAAGCATTTATATATAAGAAATAGAAAAATATTCTTATTTTTTACAATTTAGAAAAGCATATTATTGTTATATTTTATCTGATTCTAATCTATATTAAAAATTAAATTTAATATATATAATAATAAAATAAATTAATAAATAAATAAATAAAAGATACATATGAATAAAAAGTTTAATTTGTTTATATTATAAATTTATAAAATAGATAAAGTATAGAAGATATTCATTATATTATAAAATGATAAAATATCAATTTTTTTTATATTATATAATTTTCAATTTTAATTGATTTGAAGTAATAATCAAAAATTAATCTATTGGATATATAGTTTTTTTATATTAATATGTCATTTATTTCTTTTTTACATTTGAATTTGCAGATTTTTATTTTAAAGAAAGTTAAATGTAAAGTCAAAATTAAAATCTAAAAGTTAAAATATTTCAACTTAAAAATCATAATTAAAATTAAAAGTTGAAATACATTATGATAGTCAAACTACATTATAATAGTTAAAATTAAAAAATATATATTATTATTATATATAATTGTAAGTGTATTAATATTATAAACATATAAAAATATAAAAAAAAAAACTTTATTTTTTTATTAAATCATATTTTTCAGAAATATAAAAAATTTTATTTTTATTATTTTTTTATAAAACTTTATTTTACATATAAAATATTTTAAAACTTAAGATAATTTAGTAAATTATATCAACTATCTTTAGAGAATGCAAATGATATATATTTATTTTATACTTTTTAGCTTTATTTTTAATAATAATAACATTTTTTAATTTAGTTTAAAAAAAGAATATTTATTTATTTATATATTTTTTTTTGTTTAACAATCTCTAATTTTATAGAAAACATTTAATATTTCATCTTATTTAAACAAAAAATATGATTTAATAAATTTTGTATCAGTTTTGTTGACTTTTTTTTTAAGATTAATTTTTATCTATTTGAAGTTAAAAGGTTATAAAAAATAACTTTGCACACTGTATTTTTTATTTTTTTCTTTTCATATTCTTTTTTGCAGACTTTTTTAATAATTATTTATTTTAAAAAGATCATATAGATAATAATACCAATCAATTAATTGAAAATGATTTCATATTAAATACAATTATATAATTAATGTATTTCTTTCTTTATTATTCTTATCTGCAGATTTTTTTTATATTATTTTTTTATTTTTTATTTTCTTTTCCTTTTATTTCCTTTCTGTTAATTTAAATATTATTTATTTGCTTTCTCTTTTTAAAGTTTTATAGTATACTTTAATAATAATTATAGAAATTAAATATAATAGAATAAATTATTTGACAGATATGAATAATTGATCAATATGCAATAATGACTTTTATAAACATATTTTTTAAAAATCATAATATTAGATATTTAGTAATTTAAAATATATGAATTTTTAACATTTATAATTTAAGATAATGTTAAAATATTAGTAATAGTTTAAAATATAACATATTTTTTTTAAGAAAATAAGTATTATTTATAATTTAAAGATTTGTATAGATTCATATGATATAAGTTATATTTAATTTGTAAATATACTATCATTTGAGTATTATTTATTTAAAATAAAAAATTAATACTAATCTTGCACTGATTGTGAAATTGAAAAATTATTAGGAATATCAGAAGGTTCTAACTTTATTTAATAAGATGATCATAGATAAGAATAGAAATGAGTTAGATATTATTTAATCCTTTGATAATACTAATATTAGTAATAAAGATTATTCTTTAGATAATAATATAAATCTAATTTTAAAAGGATTATAAATGCTTTAATGAATATATAATTTAGACAAAATATTATATATGAAATGTAAATAAAAAGATATAAATAATAATAGTTGAATATACTTTATAAATGAGAAATAAAAAAATTTGATTTTATAAAATTCTCTTTATTAAATCTATTTTTTATTTAGGCTAAATATCATCACTAAATGTTTTTGATTAACTAAATATCTTTTTGATTATTATTTTTTCTTTTGATTAATTATTTTCGTTTTGAATCATGTGAAATCATGTGATTTATCAGCCAATAGAATTTCAGCAATAATAAAATGATCTGCAAAAATTGGCCAATCACAATGAAAGTCCGCAATGCCATATGCCCGGGTAGATAGAAAACCGGTAGCTCTCCAAGAAGTATGTTTTACTTTATTATTTTCATTACTGCGCATCAATTACTAATCATCAAATACTTCGAATATAATAGGCTGCTGAAGCATATTTAGTGAGGTAATTCGGTACGATGTAAAATTACTGATCTGCATAATCGTACCGTACCGGTTTTCCATATACTCTATTATTATCGACCTAAATTTAAAATATAGCTTCACGTTATTTAAGTAAGGCGATCAATTCAACGTCGCGTTTTGGTTTTTATTTACAAAGACAATTTTTATCTGAAATTAAATATCTTATAATAAAAAAAGGGAACTTAGGCTCATCAGAACATTTTCTGGACATTTATTTTCCATAGGATGATGATTATTAAGGCATATGCAACAAAAAACAAATTGCTCATTGCTGGCATTTCTCAATAGTAATATAAATAGTTGTAAAAAATTGTGCTTAATCTAATGATGATTTATGAAATCTTAATCATATTAAAGTGCAATATTAATATCAGATTTTTTTATTTTTTTACAAAGAAAAAATGAATATCAATTTTCTAGTAAATTGCTTCTTGATTTTAATTTTCTTCAAATCATTAACGACACCCAGAGGTTTCACACTTAAACTTATTCTAATTTGGATTTCTATAACTTAACTGACTGGCGTATAATTTTTAAAAGGACTTATATGACCATAATTATTATAAATGAATTAGTACATTATTTTTCGTAATGACAAATTTTTTCCATTCAATAATTTAAAATTTCTTTAACCAGTTAGCTTTAAACAATACAATTTCACGCGGTTGAGTCTTAGGTAAAATCGGATTATACCCCTTGGTTGATGAGATATTTTTTTAATCTCAACAGACAAAAGAAAGTATTATTTGTGTAATTGTGTAATATATCAAGTACAACGGGAGGCAATATAATTAATCACGTGATATTGAATATTTTATTAACCGTTAGACTATTGTACAAAAATTACAAAATCAAAAATGAATAACAAACATTCTTTCTAACAAATATGATAAAAATTTATATTCCAAAATTGTCAATAATATTTTCCGCATAACAACGACCAAATTCTTTAATCACACCATTATCCTTGTATTGATCAATTAATGCTTTAAATTCTTCATTTTCGTATTCATCGTTTGAAATAAGAAAAGAAAGAGCCGATCGACCTTTCCAATTCTCTAAAAATTCTCTTAGGATATTAATTGGAAAATTAAAATCATAAAATATTCCAATTACATTTAGGTTGATTGGTGCGGATCTAATTAATACGTTTAATATTTTTTCACCCGACGCCAACTTCATTCCTTCGTAAATGCCTTCATCCTTATCATCAAAATTGTCAAACGTCTCTAATATTAATACCTTCAAATAATGACAAGTTCTCAGTAAATTATCAAGTTCAAGAAAATGCTCGTCTGATGTTAGAAACACGAGTGATAGATATCCAATTAGAGGACAATTTTCACGTACGGTTCGTATAAGTAAAAGGGATTCTTCATAAAAGTCACAGTCATAGATTTCAAATTCCGCGATTAGAATTTTTTTGAGCCGTCCTCCGCTGTTTCGAATCATACAATTAATCGCGTTAACTCTAATATAGTCAATTTGAAGGATTTCAAGATGTTGAAATCTTGAAGTTTTCAAATGATATTCAAGGTCATCCGTAATGATATTTAATTTTAATACCTTCAAATTATGAAAATCCGGAAGTACTTTTGATAAAATATTAGCAAAATATTCAATGCCATTAAAGCTGTTTATAAAATAATTAAGAGTATTCGCCTTTCTCTTTAAGGCCGAAAAAATATCCATATAATAATCATTTAGATAGTATTCACCCTCGTCTAAATTATCATCCCACTCAAAATATTTTAAATTTCTCTGAACTTCAATTAACCTCACAAGTCCATCATTGCCTTTTGTGCTTTTATTAACGATGATCAACTTTTGTATATGTTGACAAATATTTGCTATCCCATAAAAGTATACGGATTCCATGGACGTATCGCATTTTAATTCACACAACGATTCGAGACGATTGGTTGCTTCTGGGATTAAAAATATTTGATGTTGAAGTGATCTCATATTCAAATATTTTAAAATTGAACATTTCCTCATAAGTAGACCGTAAATTTCTTGTTGAAAATGAAATTGATCACTGGCTGAAGGAGAGTAGATTGTAGACATCTTGTTTATAACACTTGCATTGATACATTTGCAAAATGACAGATAATCAAATAAAAGTGGCCGGTGGGGGAATTGGGGTATTTGGATATTATTGGTTCGAAATTCTTTACTATCGTCGGATAAGAACAAGGTAAAAATGTAGTACAACGAACTTTTAATTTGATCATTATTGTAATCTTCAATTGTAGTGCACCAAGGATCCTTCCATAAGATCGGAACCACCACCTCACACCAAAGTCTATTGACTAATAGACATGAAAAGAGGGATTTCGTATCGCCTTGTAATTCTTCAAATATCAAGTAAAGAATATCTTTACCAAGTTTAGACATTTTTTAAATCTAATATTATTAGTTGACCGCAGTATTTGATTACGTAATATTGAAAAGAGAAAGTTAATCCCTAATGAAAGAACGTAAAAATATAAAACTCATATATATAGTTGTTTCGTTCCCATCACGTGATGTCCGTAAATGTCTTCAATGCAAATATTTATTTTGCTTTAATAATTTAATAATTCTTGTATTATTTACGACGAAAGGAAATAATAGTATTCTGAGAAATCTGTGACAGGTTACACCTAATTAAATCAGGTTGTACACAAGGGTCATACGGTCAATCACGGCAATAAAAGAACTAGAATTTTACTCCTAGTTACGTAAAAAATGGAACGCTTCGAATACAATGAGGACGTAGTTTATGTGGTAAGGAATTTACAATGCTTTATAAATGCTATAATACCTATCTATTGCTAATATACTATATTAAATATGCTATAAGATAAAAAAAAAAATTTATAATAAACAATTATATTTATTTTAAAGTGTCACGTCATTACTTCATATAACGGTAAATACTTAACTTATGATGAGAAAATCATATATATGGAAGAAATTGAAAAAAGAATAAAGGTTTATGGATCATGTGTGGTATGCAATGAACCTAACACCGGTCACTATTGGTGTCAATCATGTTGTGGCAAAATTTCAAAGAAAATTTTCAAAATTGGACGAGCGGAAATCAATCTGTTGACAAGTTTATACAAGATGCGCAAATTAATGCAGTACATTGTACAAAATATCTTGAGTGGATACCTTTTGAAAATTTCAAAAATGTTACCTATATAACTAGAGGAGGTTTCGGAACGATTTATTCCGCTGATTTGATTGATGGTGTAATTTACTCTTATGAAATATTAGAACGGAGGTTTAAAAGACGATAAAGGTTGCCTTAAAATGTTTAGATGAATCTTCTAATATTAGTATGGATTTTTTACGAGAGGTAAATTCAATCATCTTTTGTTTCTTTTCATTTTTTTTTCATTTGTAATTTTTATTTTTATTTTTATTTTTTTTTTTTGTATGAATATGCTGTAGTAAACTCTCAATATTTATTTATATGTATATTTAGATGGAACCACATAATCAGATTTATTATAATAGTATTGTTAGGTGTTTTGGAGTAACACGAGATCCAGTTAGCAATAATTTTATGATTGTTATTGAATATTATAAGAAGGGAAATATGCGTGATTATATGTTGAAATCTAAGAAAAATAAGAATATTAAAATCTGTAACGATAAATCATATGTTTTAGCGCAAATCGCGACAGGTCTTAGGAATATTCATGATGCTGAAAGGGTTCATAAAGATTTTCATCCGGATAATATATTATTTGATATCGGTGCTTGTATTGGTGATTTGGGAATGTGTCAACCGGCAAATAAGAACAAAGAACAACTAGAAAAAGAAGGTGGTGTGTTTGGAGTATTACCCTATATTGCTCCAGAAGTTTTATTAGGTCGACCATATACCAAAGCAGCAGATATTTATTCCTTTGGATTAGTGGCTAACGAACTATTTTCCGAAGAAATTCCTTATGATGATAGACCTCATGATTTTACTTTAGCTATCGAGATATGTAATGGAACTAGACCAAAAATCTCTGAAAATATGCCCCAAAATCCTTGGTGATTTTATTTTAAAATGTATGGATGCCAATCCAAAGAATAGACCAAGTGCTGAAGAAATGTACCTAACTTTAGTTAATCCCTATTACGATCAAGATAGTGAATTACGATCTCAAATCAAAGAAATTGATGAAAGATTTAAGAGTATCAAATTAAGTGAAGAGAAGCTCATCGATAGACAGACACATCCACAATCTGTATATACTAGCAGATACTTATGTTATGAAAATCTCCCTGAGCCTACCAATCTTGATTGTGCAAATAATCTACGTAAGTGAAGTCCATAAGATCTTTATATGTACAGTACTTACGTTGTTATATTTTATTAACACCATTCCGTTTATAGTTTCAGAAGATTTTGGTTGTATTGACGATATACCTTTTGAAAACTATTACTTGTCGCGTACAGAATAAATTTGATGATATCATGCTCAATTAATAAAAAAGGTAATTCTATAGTGCGTGATTTAATGTATATAAAAGTAATCACATTTTGTAACAATATTGCGCAGATGTTATCATTGCTTTGATTGATTGCCCCATAATTAATCGCAAAATATTGTTCTTGCAATCAGCTGCGCCATGGTGATTGAATAGTAAAAAAATAAAATAAATATGAATAATTTTTTACATTTCTAAAATAAAAATGGACGGATTAGTTCATATTTGATATAAAATTGACCAAAATTTATTGGTGTTTAGCGCAATATCGAAACAAAATCTTATTGCTTCTTAAAGAAATAGCTGGATTTGAGGCGGATGAGGCATGGATAAGAATATGACACAGAGAAACTTCTTTTTTATGAAACCAAACTCCATTGATAATTTTACTTTGAATTCAAACTATGAAATTATTTTACGCCGCAGGAATCGAGGCGGAAGCATGTGATATATTTTATTTGCTATTCACTGTAGCTAATATTTATATTTTCTCATTTGATTTATTTTTAGAATCTCGACGTCTTATATTTACAATTATAAATAAATTCTATTACCAATTAACACAATATAATTAGTATGCATGATATACACTCCCCTGAAGAAAATATCCGGGCACTCAAAAAAAAAATTTATTTTTATTAAAATATTTTCATATTTA